ACATTAGAGATAAAATCTTAACTATTAATTAAGGAAGGTAAGTGACAGTAGAAGGCAGAAGAGAGTTAATACAGATTTCATAGAACGTGTTTTGGGGTTTTCAAGAGTTTTTCAAGCATCCTGTTTTGCCTAGAATGTCCTTGAGTAGAGCAAATGGTTAACATGCTCGCCTGTTAATCAACAGGTTGGAGGTGCAAGTCCCCACAGAAGCATCTCAGAGGAAAGGTCTGGTGATCTACTTACAAAAATCAACTGTTGAAAACCTACGAAAGACAATTCTACTCTGAGACATACAGGGTCTCCATGAGTCAAAATCAGCTGAATGTCGGCTGGTTTTATTCCTATAGCAACATATATTATCCTTAATATTATTATTATTATGACTACTACTGTTACTACTAATACCATTGCTTCATTTATTGTCCTTCAATATTCAATTATAAGGTGAGTGGCTTTTAAAATCTTTCTCATTGAGGACAGATTACTAAATGGGTAAGTGTTATTCTATAAATAGCATTTAAAAGCTGGCTCCGAAAAAAAAAAAAAAATACTTTTTCTCTTGAAATAGTAAGCTTCCCACTGATGGTAAAAGAGATATTGCATTGATATTTGTCCCTCTAAATTTATAATCTTAGTCAAGTATGGAAATGAAAATTTCTTTTCCTAAAAGACAAGTTATGATAGCAATAATAAGAAATTAAAATTTATTTTCCTGAAAGACAAGTTATGTTATCAATAATAAGCTAAGTTGTTCAGCCCGAAGTTGTGCCGGAAAACATTTGTCCTCACTGATTAGAAAAAGATGGAAAACACGGGACTTCCTGTGGTAGAATGTTATCAATGACACAAACTGAACCGAATGAAACCTGTACACGCTCCTACAACTCCAATGGTCCAGGATCTCAGATATAGCTGGCGGGGCGGGGCGACTCTGCCAGTTATATCTAAAAGACTTATAGCCTAGTACAGTGTGAGAATAAAAGAATCCTTTTCATGTGATTTCTTTGTTTTTGACAAATGACTTGAACAATTTTCAAAAGAATAAAGAGAGCTATGACCAACTGGTATGGGGAGAGGAGCACTGGTGGTGCAACAGTTAAGTGCTCAGCTGTTAACTGAAAGTTGGAAGGTTTGAACCCACCAGTGGCTCCACAGGGGAACAGACCTGGGGATCACCTTCCACGAAGATCACAGGCTTAGGGAACGCATGGCACAGGTTCGCTGCCATATAGGATCTTCATGAGTCACAGTAGGCTTGACAGCATGTTCTGCTTGTGTGTGGGAAGCAATAAAATTCCACGGAAGAAAGATTGGTGACCTACTGTAAAGAGTTACAGCCTCAGAAAGCCAACGGAGGTTGCTATGAGTTGGAATTGACTCAATGGAAGTGAGTTTGGTTTTTCTGGTTTGACACATCAGAGGAACTCATAAAACTAAAGGAATACAAAGGATAAAGGAAAGATGGAGATGAGAGGAGAAAAAAAGGCAAGGAGAAGGCAGATGATCCAATCAAGCTGCAACGTCAAAGGACTCTCTTGCCCAGAGCTTGATGGTTGGGCCATGATTGATTTCTTGGTTGGAGGTTCATATCCCCTGGAGAGTCTATGTCAATGCTTTTTTTCTCTCCCTTTAGTTCTCTCATAGACAGTAATGACAAAGTGTTATGTTAATGTCTCTTATTTAGGGGATAGGTGGAGCAAGAAAGTTCTTCCTCAACTTTTCTAAATTTTCAAAGGATTAACAAGACCTGAGTGGAGAAAAAGAGATGGTACCATGGTTTGCATCTAATCTTTAGAAAGACTGGTGAGATTTCTCATGTCTTTAAGCTCCCCACACTTTAGTTAGGTTTCTCTCTGAGGTCCTTCGGCATCTCCTGGCCCCACCCAAAGAGAGTTAGTGCACCAGTGGAAATCCCCTGAACAAACTAGCACATGCTGTACCAAAATATTGTGCCTTTGCTTTGTTCTTTAACATCTTCACAACTAAAGGAAAGAGATACAATCAAAATGATAGTCCACTTAAGTGATAAACAAGAGAATTTAAAGAGACATGACCCAATTGCACACCCATTGAGTGACAATCTGTAACCATTTTATGAGATCTGTGTTGGTGGACAGATGTAAATTTTGTGATTTCTCTGTGAATACTTATTTAGTTCATGGGAATTTATAATTACAGCTTTCTTAAGAGGATACTCAGTTCAATGCACAAAACGTACCAGTTTTTGTGAATCAAGCTTATCATTTTCTAACCAAGTTTTGAAAACAAGATTGAAAGGATGACACAAATTATAATCTGACATACAAAATTATAACTCTGCATTTGCTAGAGACAGTGTTTTAAAATGCCAGGGAAAGGCTCTGGCCAATGGAGGACATAGAACATGTCCTCTTCAGTAGCTTCTTGTTCTGAAATAATCCTTGGGCTGATAGTGTGGAGCTTGGTTGATAAAGGGTATACACCATTTTATTACGTATCTCTGAGTCTGCTTCAAAACTAAAGAGGAGCTTCCCAGAAACTGGTGCCAACACTTGCACCTCTTCTTTTCCCATTTTATTAGATTGTCACAGTAACTATGATGACAAGACAAGTTAGCTCATGTAGCTTTCAAAGGTTCTTTGGCTTGTTTTCACTCACTGGAGATATTCCTTATCTCTGTTAATTTAGCCACCTTTTTTAGGCCCCAAGGATCACTTCTACTCAATGACAGTGAATCAAATCAAGCTTTGTAATTGACTGTCCCCTCCCTTTCTCTGTATTCATCACCTCGTAAGTACACTCTTGTGTTTTCTTTCCAAAAGAGAGCCACTGTGAATCAAGGGATTGCTGTTTCATGGCTTGAATCTAGGTGAGATTACTCATTTGAAGCCCTGAGCAGAGCTAAATTGTACAAAGTGTATTGTGTATCTGTTGATGGCAAGATTGCTACTGACTTGCTCTGAATACTGATCATGATTTAAAGAAAAAATCTGAGTTACCCTCCAGAAGTCAACCAGGTTTAACAAGCACCACTACTTGAACCATGAGGTCATATTCAGAACAATGTTGATTGGCATATAAGTTTAGGAAGAGTCAAAATTATCTACATCATTTCTTAGTCTTCTGCCCTATATATATAGGCACCAGTGTGGTTTGTATGTACCCTTATGTGTCTATAAAGTTATATGGCAATAAGATCCTCACAAATAGAATTCTATCTTAAATGTCATGAGAAACTCACTATATAATCTACTAACTTAGGAGTCAGCAGACTTTTTTCAATGAAAGGCCTGATAGGAAAGATTTTAAGTTTTGCAAAGCAGTACAATCTCTATGCTAGCTACTCAACTCTGCCGATGTAACACAAAAGTAACCATTGATAATACACATGATTAGGTATGACTGTGGAGCTCTGGTAGCATAGTGCCTAAGGCACTTGACTGCTAACCAGAAGGCTGGCGGTTCAAACCCACCAGCCACTCCTCGGAAGCAAGGTTGGACAATCTATTTCTGTAGTGATACTGCCTCAGAAACCCAAGGAGGGGTTGCTATGAGTTGGGTCTGACTCGACGGCACATAACAACAACAGATATGACTGTCTTCCAATAAAACTTCATTTACAAAAAAACAGGTGATGGGCTATCTTTGGCTAACGTTTCATTAAACAAATAATTCTGGAATGTTTACTATGTTAGGTAAGATATAAGTACTATAAAGAGAAAAAATGAGAAAAATTGCTGTTTATATGAGCCTCCCTAGTGTATGTTCTGAGCTCTAGAGGCACAGTGAGTAGTTAAGCACTTGGCTGTTAACCAAAAGGTGGCAGTTCAAACCCATCAGCCACTCCACTGGAGAAAGTTGTGACATCCTGCTTCCATACAGATTTATAGCCTTGGAAACCCTATGGGACAGTTCTACTCTGTCCCATGAGTTGGAATCGACTGGGCAGCAGTGGGTTTGGTTGGGTTTTAGCATATGTTCAGAGGTTAAAAGGGAGCTATTTAAAACAAATCTGCAATGAATTATTTCATAAAGTGCAAAATATTTCTTTAAACAAAACCTAACCCCTAAACAATCAACTGATCAGCTTTGTAAGGTTAGATTTTTGTCTTGTGGTTCTTTTAAAGTTGGACCCTGTTTATACTCTAGCCTGCGATCACTTGAGGCTAAATTTGAATCCACCCTCTTATTCTGAAATAAGCCCAGTAAGTTTGAGGACTGCAAGAAGTACAATAATTTAGAGTCCCAGGGGGTCCCTGAGTGGTGCAACTAGTTAAATACTTTTAAAGTTCATAAACTGAAAAGTTAGTGGTTTAAATTCACCCAGAGGTGCTTCAAAGGAAAGACTGTGTTGATCTCCTTTTGAAAGGTCACACCCATTGCAACTCCAAAGAGCACAGTTCTATTCTCACGGATCACCGTAAGTCAGAATAGACTCAACGGCAGCTGGTTTTGTTTTTCTTGTTTTGGGTGATATAAACAGGTTAACGAACTTGGTTGCTAACCAAAAGGTTGAGGGTTCAAGTCCATGCAGATGTGCCTTGGAAGAAAGGTCTGGCCATCCACTTCAAAAAAAAAAAAAAAATCAGCTACTGAAAACTCTATGGAACACAGTTCTACTATGCCCCACAGGGGATCAACACAAATGGGAGCTGACTCAATGGCAACTATTTTATTTTATAATAATTTAACATGCTCTCTACCCCTGATTTCCTCTACCTCTGCTTACAGCAGCAATCCATTCACTCAGACTTCCTGTTTCTGGCACTTGCCTTTTTTTCTGCTGTGTTTATACTTCCCCCTGGCTGTGGTTCAATACGTATAAAGCTGTAGATCTAAGTATCTCTCTCTCTCTCTCTCTCATTCATTTGAACAAACAGGCTCCCGCGCCTGCTCTCTCCTCTTTCTCTCTTTCAGAATGACAATTCTAGGTACAGCTCTTGGTATGTCTTTCTATTTACTTCAAGTCGTTTCTGGAGAAAGTGGCTATGCACAGAATGGTGAGTCATTTCTAATTTTTCTTCAGTATTTTGATGTTCTCTAGCATATATTTTAGGTTATATCCTTAGGAGACCTGAGCTGGAACACAAGGTTGTAAAGGAGCTTGAGAATTTAACATGTATTCAGAGCCAGGTCTGTAAGTTCTAACCACCAGGACAGAGGACATGGGGACAGCACAGTAGGTGGTTTAGAAATGATCTTAGAATCATCAAGACGGAATACATTTGACTCTCAAAAAGTGGATCTTAAATGTTGATTGAAGTTTCTGCTCTTACAAAAAGAAAACTCATATCAATGCTATGATTGTGCTGGTTGGTAAATTGCCAAGGTAATTTAGCCTTGTAAAAAATCAAGCTAAGTTTGTTTTGTGGAGCTTTCAGGAGGTTCCATCCTTCATAATATAATAATGTCCAGAAATAAGAACTTTGTCTACTCTCACCAATGTTATATACCCAGCACCTAACAGCATGTCCAGAACATAGTAGACATTCAATAAATATTTGAAAATACCTTCAAAACCCTTTAGTTTTGATAGATTCATGTGAGATTCTAAGGGAATAGTTGATAGAGAAAGATCTGAACTAATTGTTTCATTGAAATATATTTTATTGACACCATATCAACAAGCTTGCTCTCTTATAATAATTTCCTTTGAGTAACTTAAAAATAGCAAGGAACTAGAAGCAGACCAGGTTGTGCAGTGGTTACAGCATTCAACTGCTAAGTGAAAGGTTAGTGGTTTGAACACATGAGCTGCTCTGTGGTTGAAAAATGTGGCAGTCAATGTCCATAAAGATTACAGCTTGGAAATACTGTGGGACAGTTCCACTCTGTCTTATAGGGTCACTAGGAGTTGGAATCAATTTGACAGCAGTGCCTTTGGTTTTTTGTTTAGACAGAGACCTGGCTGTTTCATAGATACGTAATAACGGCAACAAAACTGTAGGCAAAGGTGAAGCAGCAGCAACAGAAGCCACCAGGGAAGTTGTACCGCCTATTTGTTCCTGCAAATTAAGCTCTTTCACTTTAAGAGTTAAAAGTATTTACTGTAGATGATATCAAACACATCAACCTAATGACTCAGCTTAGCTATTTAAGTCATGTGATTGCTCAGGATGGAAATCCCTAAAAATTTCTCATTAAAGGAATTGTCTGAGGGTTGACATTTGCATGTGAAGAACATGTATGAATCACTGTGGAGGCTGATCATTATCCTATGGTAAACACTAGCATGGAGGGAGATAGATGTACATCAGGTTTAGCAAAATATGGCCCTTAGAATAGGACATTCACAGAAGTCTTACTTTTTTGTTATAACGTATTCTCTCTACTTCTCACCGGTGACCATACTGTTTTTAAAAGGAATAACAACTAATTAAAAACTGAATTTTCACTTCAACTTTTAAAACTTCTTATTTTTTAGAACATCTGAAAGACATTTTATGTGTAACCACTCATCCACATGATTGTGTCAATGTACTTCCCAGTGTGGGATGTAAGAAATTCACATACTTTTCAGCTGCTATTTTTGTAAAGATAAGTGAGTTCTCTGAAAAATCACAAAAGATGATCAAGAGGAGAAAAAGGGTATTTAAAAAAAAAATCCAAAGCACTTAAACTTTTCAATCAACTAATTCCATTCCAAAGGAAGAAGACTTCAAACCACACTTAGTATACAGAGCCTTGTACATAATACTCACCCTCTCAAAAAATTATGGGTACATATGTTTAGATGGGAGCTCTGGTAGCATAGGGCCTAAAGCATTTGGCTGCTAACCAGAAGGGTGGTGGTTCAAACCCACCAGCCACTCCTCGGAAGGAAGGTTGGGCAATCTACTTCTGTAGTGATACTGCCTCAGAAACCCAAAGAGGGGTCACTATGAGTGGGTTAGACTCTAAGGCAGTGAATTTGGTTTGGTTTGGTTTATGCTTAGACAGTGAGCACTACGACAATAATAGATGAACTCTTATTCAAAAGTTCTATGTAATTGCAAAACCATAAGAAAAGAACACTTCCAATTGCCATAGGACTCTTTCAGAAAAGCTCTAAGTTTTCATGTCTATTTACAGAACTCAGATTCTTATTTTATCTTTTCATTACTTATTTCTCAAATTTTATGATGAATGTCATAGCTAACCCTTATTGAATGTTTATTGGGTGCTAGGCTAAGTCTTTCCATGTGTTTGCTCAATGACTCCTCATAATAAAATGATTTTACATAGCAGAACACTGAGGCTTAGAGAGGTTAAGTAATTTGATGGAGGAGCAAGGCTACCAAGTAGTATAAGAAGAATTTAAACCTACATATGTTCAGCTCTGGCACAAAATGTCTTAACTGTACCAAACTACTCTTAGCTAAAAAATTTTCAGCTTAGTTCCAGTACAACATTCTCTTTGTAAAATGCCACGCAATTTTGCAAGTTGTTGGGAATTTTTCTTGCTTACAAAGTAACCCTGCCCAGTAATGTTCACTGAAGAACCAGAGAGCTGCTTCCTAAAAAACACAGCCACTTAAAGTACAGGAAAAAGTGGATGAACTAGACATTCATGATTGGGAATATACAGCAAACAAATTTTGCCAGAGTGGGTGGCTAAGGTCAGGAGAAGTCTTTTGTTATGCTCCTAGCCATAAGCTATTTAAGTAAGGAGAATGTTGTTTGGACATTCCATAGCCTTTGGGACATTCAGTTGGGATTTGATTTTAATACACTCTGGATCCAATTCAAAGCCCTTGGGGCATCTGATTCCTGGTACCAATGGGCAGAAGTCCCAGAACCAGCCATAGGCTCATGTTCAACCACTCTGAGAATCCCCTTTGGCTTCTCTGAATGTTCTCAGATCCTAATCGGTGTATATTTGCTGGCAGATATTTCCAGCCTCACCAAGCAGAAGCAGTATCTAGAAAATCTATAGGAAGGTCCACCAGATCTGAATTCTTTCAAATCTGATTTTATCTAATGACATTTTTCTCAGTCGGTATCTTAAGAGATGTTACCTTTAAAAAAAAAAAAAAAAAGGTTTTCTTAACAACGGAGATAATCAGTGCTCCTTTTACTTGAAACTCCTAAAGCAAGGGAAAGCTATCCCTTAAAAATGTGAACCTCTGACTGAACAAGCATCTTCCTTCATTTGAAAACAAATAATTTGAAGGAAATAAATGAAAATGAATAATCAAGTCAAAGATTAGATTAGGTAGCATATGAATGATGAAGTATCTCTGATTTGTACAAATTAATAGAAGAAATTCCAGTTTAAAGGAAGGAAAGAGTGTGTTCAGTTCCTCATTCTAGATCACAAATGCACTAACCCAATGGCAGAAATATTTGGAAATATTATGTAAAGGTTATTTATTCATTGTGATGAACTTTTATTTCTAGAAAACTCTGTGCATCTTGGCTTTTTAAGCCTTAATCTTGTCCCTATCATTTGGCATTCCTTCTTTCAGTAAAATATGGTTACTCTTTTATGCCTGCCACTAAAGTCTGTCACCTTATTCACGTCACTCCAGATTTGAAAAGGACACATTATTTGCTTCCCTAATAGCTGTGGGTTTGTTCCTTCCCAGGAGACTTGGAAGATGCAGAACCAGAGGACCACTCGTTCTCATGCTTCAGTCAGTTGGAAGTGAACGGAGCCCAGCACTCACTGACCTGTGCTTTTGATGACCTAGATGTCAACAGCACCAATCTGGATTTTGAGATATGGTGAGGAATGGGTGCTTAGAATGGGTCTGTCTTTTCATACATTGCAGAGCAATAGCCACAAAAGATTGTGTGCCTTAATTCCCAAATGGTAAACATTTCATGAATTCACCAAAATCTCCTAAAACTCCTTGACTTTCATCAAAAGATTCAAGTAACAAACTCATATTCCATCTCCCAAGTCCTGCTGCCACAGACAAATGATGGTATGCATCGTGGAATTTCCACATCTCTCCTAACATCAGAATTTAAACACTGGTTCTCCCAAAATGAGCCTCTTCAAAAATTGATGTACTCAACATGACACAATTAGTGAACTTGAAGAAGTTGCACTCTGAAGCCCTGTAGCATGGATTCTAATCTCATTACAAAAACTTACTAACTTTTTGACCTAGGGCAAGTTATGTAACTTATTTGGGGTTCACTTTCCTCACCTGTCGAATGAGATATACCCACCTCACAGACAGGTTATGATGATTAAATAATTTATTGTATGTAAAGCACTTAGAGGAATCATTCTGTGTGTAATGAGTCATGGAGAAAAGGCATGAAGTCGGAATTTTATGCATAGAGAATTCCAGACCCAAGAAAAATCAGTGAAATTTTAAGAAAAATAAATTTTAAATGGAACACCAAATCTCTAGGCATCCTCTTGATAAAGTTTAACTAAAGATGATTCTCTTAATGTAAATTTTCTGAAAATCTGAAGGGACAAATCCACTCTTGGTTTCATGAGACCTCAGAGAAAAGGCAAAGTAAAGGTCTCTAGTTTGAAAGTTTGCTAAAATGCACAGAGCCCTCTTCCACACATCATCTCTTCTTGCTAAAGTTTTCTATCTCTGGTGACTTGAAAAAAATACTCTAACATGAAATTCTGACTCATGGCTAACTCCAAAACCATATCAGATGACCTAATTCTTAATCAGTTTCTAGTGAGGAAAGTACATCAATATTTACCAGTAGTAGTAAAGAGAGCTTCTTAAGTTCCAGAAACACTCCGCTGATCCCGGTAATAGTGTCCAGACAAGCTCTGACTTCTACGCCTTACATTAATTTACAGAAGCTGCCTGCGTATTTTCCTGAAGCAGTCTTTGGATAATTATGATCTTGGACTTGAATTCCGTAGCGTGTTCTCCATCTGCCTTCTCCCAGTTCACTTCCCTAACACAACTTCCAATAATAATATTGTCAAGAGAGCAGCCACCTACAGTGTCTAGAGTGAAGGATGTACTATTGTTACCATCCACTCAGCCCCTACGCAATACATGGTGACCCCGTTCACAAGGAGATCAGACCATTGTGGTCCATAGAGTTTTTCTTGGTTGATTTTTGGAAACTGATTGCAGGTCTTTCTTTCTAGTTTGTCTTAGTCTGGAAGTTCTGAAACCTGTTCAGGGTCTCAGCAACAGTCAAGCCTCCACTGACCTACAAGTGGTAGCTTCACATAAGAGGCATTAGACTGGGACTCAAACCTGGGCCTCCCATCTGGAAGGTGAAACCTCTACCACTGAACCATCACTGCCCCCAGTCTGCAACCAGACTGTGCAAAAGGCAGCCTAACAACTCATTCAAACAATGCAGTCAACACAGAGGTTTGACATGGGGTTCTCTGCACAGTGTTCACTATGGTTTCTCTTGACCAGGCCAAGGTTGACCTCTGGGTCCACTTTCACTTACACAGTATGTGACCACACGTAAATAAACTTACCCACTTCCTTTAACATGTCTCTTGATTTTTCCTGTAGTATTTTAAATCTGTCTTTAGCTTCAATCTGGGTTTTTCCATTGGATTCAGATATTTCAGTAAGAATGGAACTGTTTTAATTCATACTTTCAGCATAAAACAGTACATAGGAACTTCTCAGCTGATTAAGGTGCTTCTACAGACCAGCCACTTCTGTAAAATGTGCATAGACCTTGAGAGGAGACCGCTCACCTCATACATTCAGAGCAGGCAGTATATATCAAGTTAAATTCAGCTAAGAAGAGCGTTGTGTTTGCTGGTTAGATTGGATTTCTTTTTAACAAAGAAATTAGCTCTATTGGAGCTTTTTTTTTCCTGTTAATATAATTTTTTTTTATAAAGAAGAAATTGGAAATCACTGAACATTATGCATTCTGCTGAAGTCATTACACACATGGGAATACATGTTGGTAGAAGCCACTCAGTTCTTTCAAGAGGCCTTTCGTAGATGAACTTACCACCTTCCTAGGATCTTGCCCCCAGTCTTCCAAGTTTGCAAATTGACTTCATTAATATTTAATAAGTAGATCTACCTCTCAGGGATGAACTTGGATTAATCAAGCACACAGTTGGATTGCCAGCATGCAATAGTTGTTGGCAGATACAACTATTATAGCCCATTGTCATCAAGATGACTCCATCTCATGGCAACCCCATGTGTGTCAGAGTAGAACTGTGCTCCATAGGGTTTTCAGTGGCTGGTTTTTCAGAGGTAGATTGCCAAGTCTTTCTTCCAAGGCTCCTCTGAGTTGACTGTACCATGCAACATTTTGATTAACTGCCAAGAACTGTAACCCTTTGCACCATCCAAGGACTCCCCAGTATGCATTATGCATACTGGATTCAGGGCCTACAGGAGTTGTTGTTGGGGGTGGGAGGGAGGCAGGGAGGACCAGGAGGTTGTGGATCAATATAAATCCAGCTTTACTGGAGGTTAGAGGGAGGCTAAAAACGTTTCATTTAATGAAACTCTATCTCTCAGCTTCCTTGATTGAAGAAGTAGAGGCCCTGGAGACAGACGGTTGGATTGAAACCTCATTATCTCTTTGACAAGGAGAGTTACTGAAGCTCTCTGATTATAACAACTGCTTTGCATTGGGATAGAAGGGATTAGTCTCTGCTACATGGTAAGCCGAAAAACAAACGAGTTGCCATCAAGATGATTCTGACTCATAGCAACTGTTTAATAGAGAATAGAACGGCCCCATAGGGTTTCCAAGTCTTTAATCTTTACAGGAGCAGGTCCTCAGGTCTTTTCTCACACTGACCCTCTGATGGTTTGAAACACTAACCTTTCAGGTAGCAGCTGAGCACTTAACCAGTGCACTACCAGGGCTCCTCAGTCATATAGCACGTGCCTGCAATGATAGCTAACTCAATGTAGTCAGATTTTCATTAAAAATACAATCAAAATGTTCTTCCATAAATAGAGAATCAAAACAAAGAAAATGTGCTGATTTTATGACCAAAGGTGTTTGGCTCTTATCTCAAAGTGGTTTGGTTTTTAAATTAGTTTTGAAATCTAGGTATTTCTTTTAAAATCTCATCTGATAGCACTGCAAAAAAATGTAGCTGCAAGAGATTTCTTGTTCTGTATAGATAGGGAATGAAATCTCTGGTTCTGAAGTTAGGCCCATTTTTCTCGTTTGTATCACCAGCCTAGACCACATAGGCATTTGAATGTGAGCCCCTACTTGTAGGTATTTGCATAGATTTCATAGTCAGCTATCAGAAGACAATTGTATTTCCTTTATTTACACATTCTTGGGGGCACCACAGTCACTCCCATATACTGCCTACAGATACCACTTCAAATGTGCAATATTTTGTTTTCCTCTGTTACCACCACCATCACAGGCTGTACCCCAACAAATCTAACTGAATCCGTAGTCTTAAATAGCAATATCTGACAAATATTGTTGTACTTGTCTACACTTTTTGCTGTAGACCATACTAATCTTCAAAAAAAAAAAAATTCAGCTAGATTCTTTCAAGGCCAACAGATGGTAAAAGCAATATTTGTCTTTCAATATTTCCATGTGAAATAGCTCTTTGCATCAAAAAGGGAAATCTATTTATCACACTGAACTGGTACAATAGTAACAGAAACTTGCTACATTTTTAGGCTCTGTGATTGTATATTCCACACATGCCCTAATTACAAATGCAGTCTAAACTCAAGGATTTAACTAAAAGCCATCATCTCTCTAATTTTTCCACATTACAGATCATCCTAAAATTCAAACATGAGACCCTATTCCTATTTTCCCCTTCTATATTTACTCATCAGATCATGACAATCCTACATTGCTCCCAAGTTTGTTTCTATGGGGTGATCTAATGTCCTTTAAAATTGATGGTTTCTTTTTATTCTATTGCAGTGGGCAAACCCATCTACCTTAAGGGACACAACCTTCTAGAGGTTGCCACACACTCACAAATACAAACGTACTTCAAAGCCTAACCAACTGCAAACCCCAAAAGATATCAGTAAACAAATTACATTGTGGAGAAGATACTGTAAGGAATTAAAAAAAACTCACTGCCGTTGAGCTGACTCTGACTCATAGCGACTCCTCCTTGGGTTTCTGAGGCAGTATCACTACGGAAGTAGATTCCCCCATCTTCCTTCCGAGGAGTGGCTGGTGGGTTTGAACCACCGGACTTTTGGTTAACAGTCAAACACCTTAGGCATTACGCCATCAGAGCTCCTCTGTCAGGAATGTTCTACCAATAATGAATTATTTAACCAATTAATATTTAAGATTGCCTCACCTTCTCCCAGTTTCTCCATGACTGTAGGAGCTTAGTACCTCAAAACTCAAAGCAGCCCAAAGGTGAAAGATTCTACACCTAAAGTTGGAGAATTCTCCCCAGATTTGAACCCCATGCCCAGCTCATCTCAGACCACACAGACAGGTTCTTCATTTTGTGTGGGTCCAGGAACCGTCATAGGAAGTGTTCCCTTAAACACATGAAGAGATTAAGTGTACAAACATAAAGTTAACAGAAAAACAACAGCACATATTTCTAGGTTGTAAGTAGAAAGGGCTTTCCTACCCTTATTGTTGTGAAAAATGAAATGGGATGCATAAACATCAATATCCTAGGCATTAGTGAGCTGGAATAGACTGGTTTTGGCCATTTTGAATCAGAAAATCATATGATCTACTATGGCAGGAATAACAAACTGAAGAGGAATGGTGTGGCATTCATTGTCACAAAGAGTGTTTCAAGATCTTTCCTGAAGTACAATGCT